AACCAGCACACTTTATTTGCCACAGATCAGTAGTCTCAAAGGTTACACAGCCTGGGCAGAGTTGACAGATCCCACACAGACCCATGTGTATCAGTCACTAGAATAGGCCTGCCCTTTGAATGAGTGCCATATCAGAGGAACAGTTTCTCAGAGCACAAAGTTATCTCTAAGCCAGCTCAGTCCACGATCTTTCACCAATGCTGTCAATAAACATGTTCATTGGGGTGTGAACAACCACCTCCTGGAAGCAAGATTGAGGGACAAAGGAAAAAGGGAGTCAGGGCATAGAGATACTAGCATGTGATAGCCTAGAACTCAAAATGTTTTATGCTAATCTCCCACCAACAGAAACTGTTTCCACATCAGCCTACACCTTGTGGCCCTGCCTTAGGGCCAAGGTTTGAGACAAAATAGCTCATTACAGCATTAGCAGCCCACACCTACAGCAAAGGCCAGCTGCAGTCACAGGCACAGGATGACCCAGCAGTCTCTGACAGTTCAGTCAGCCAAAAAGGTTGAAGAGTCAGGGGTACATCCCATGGTAAAGAGCTTCTTGCTACTGTGATGCTAACTGAAGTTCAGCTTAAGCTGGACAACATCTAAAGACGTTCTTCAAGTGATTTGAAGCAATGCAACGGCTGCTTGTACCCCTGATGGGCTCCAGTACTTAGGCCTCAGCTGATTCCTGTAATCTGGGGGAACCACACTAAGGGACATGCTCGATGACTAAGAATCATCGTGATCCCAGAAAATGGGGAAAACTATGGTTTTCAGAGATTATAAATGACTCAACCCCTTCATACTCACCCTCCCCATTCTTCACCTCTTCTAGTGAAACAAAAAAGCCTTTCAGGGTTAACCTCTGCACTTATTTTCTCAATGATAAAAAAAATCCATATTCCAAATCTGTGCAGAATTAACCATGACAAGAAATGACATAAACCATGTGCCTTCACGGTCTAGAATGATCCCCCTACCTCCTACCACTTGCATCCCTTGTCCCGGAAGTCACCAGTAAAATCAACACTGCCCCTCACAGCACCCTAAAAACCTCAGCACTTCAGAAGTCCTGGAAATCCCAGGATCTGTTCCTTACGTGGAATAAATGGTCATCCCTTGTCTCTCTTCAATTTTAATGCTTTCATCACTAGGACAGGGAGGACTGGCTTGAAATTGGTTCGGGATTCGCAGATAGACCTTCACTTTCTGCTGTAAGGAGCCATCTTCAGCAGGAAAAGCAGTGATGGAGACAGGAGCAGTCATGCCCATTCCAGCACCTGAAAGAGAGGCGGAGAAATTACTCCAGAAGTCCAGGTTCTTGGGAACTCAAAGCATTAACAGAGCTCAGAAAAGCTAATTTTGGTTTAGAAGGCTCCTCATTGTGATCTCTTTGCACAATCCAGCTGAGAGAGTGGGGTCCTTCGAGGTACGCAGAAGAGCTTTTATGCTTTTCATTGCACCAAATCTCTCTTTCTTTTGCTTTCTATATAGGGATCTTGGGAGCTAAGGGTCCCCAGTAACCTCTGGATGGCTCTTCATTAATGGTCCTGTTTTTGTGGCTCTCACTATATAGCTCACATCACCAAAATGATCTTTTCTGACAAATCACCTCCAATACAACCTACAGTTTTCTGATGCAGTGGCATATTTGTAACTGAAATATTATATATATGAGTATTTACAACATTATCATCTGTACTTAGTGGTTAAGCTACAGTCAATACTGGGTGACAGAAACTTTCTCCTAAACCCTTCCAAATGCTTCCAGAGACAAGTTCCAATGCCCCAAAACTCAGAGACAGTCTGGCTTTCAGGAGCACTGTCCATGTTCTCCTCTAGTCTGTACTGTAGCAACAGCACACCTCTTGTCTGTTTCTAAGATGTACATGGCGCTCAAGAACATTTTTCTTCCCTTTTTTTCTTTCAGCAGTAGTGAACCTACAACCTTCAGGATTAGGCACTGAAATGGCCAAGACCAAGACATCCTTCTCATTTATTTATTTTACACTCTGATACCGTACCTTTCTCCAAACCACGTTATGGAAGGTACCTTTTCCTCTACAGCAACAGTGATCATCACCTTTCTGAAACTGTAGGGCTGTAAACGCCCGTTCCTTTCCCACTCAGCTTCTATTAATTATATTATATTATTATATATAATATTAATATATATTAATATATATATAATATATATAATATAAAAATTAAATAATATATATATAAATAAATATAATAATATATAATATATATAAATAAATATAAAAATATAAATAATATATATATAATATATAATATATTAATATATAATATATAATATATATTAATATATATAATATTATATATTCAGACTATATAACTCCTTCTACCACATGCTTGAGAAAGGTATGAAAGTCAAAGTATATGCTTTAGATCTCTGTGCTCTTATCATCCTGTTCCAGATGATTACCGATGCACATACTTTAGTAAGCTGAGCATTAGAGGCAATCACCTGGAAGTGCCATTATAAAACACTGCAAAGCACTATTAAAAAGCAAGCTCACTGTTCATTACCCTTTCATGAATAAAAATCACCAGTGTATACAATAAAAACTCAAGGTCATAAAAGTCATCTAGTTGCCTACAAGGACAGGTTTTCTAGGTGTGATCACAGAACCGAAGCACTCCAGTTACCCTGGATTTCATTAGCTACCTTCATACAGCCTGCAGGCTGTGACGAGCACGTGTGTGCCTGTCCTTGCAAACCTCACTGAACTCTACAACTGCCTGAAGGGAGGTTGTGATGAGGAGGGGCTTGGCCTCTTCTCCCAGGCAACAAACAGGACCCGAGGAAATGGCCACAAGTTGTGCCAGAGGAAGTTTAGATTAGACATAAGGAAAAACTTTTTCTCTCAGAGAGTGGTCAGGCACTGGAATGGCTGCCCAGGGAGGTGGTGGAGTCGCCATTCCTGGCAGTGTTCAAGAGGCATCTGGATGAGGAGCTATGAGATATGGTTTAGTGCTTGTGGTAGCAGTGGTAATGGGAAGGTTGGACTAGATGATCTTGTAGGTCCTTTCCAACCTCGTGATTCTATGATCACCCCAGCGGCAAAGTAATGCAGACCTACTTAAAAAAACAATCTTTGCAATGTTATCCTCACAGAGGAAAGAGAGAGGAGTGGACTCACAGTACGACCTGGCTGGACACCTTATCCTGTAGTTAAGTTGATTGCTCTCACTGAGGGACCATGCTCACCCTAGACCTCTAGTGATGGGGCCACATGGGCTGCCGTAACACCAGCTCTATCAATGGGGCTCCCATTGAGCAGCCACTACAGCTGCCCAGCGAGCATCTCACCTTTGTCATTGCTTCCTCCAACATACTTGAGGAGCTTCAGCGCTGCTTCCTTCGAGGCTTCATCGAAGGGCTTCCCTGTCACCTCCACCACAGCAAACTGCCCACCTTCACACTCTCTCTCCTCGTAGCTGAGCTGCTCCTGAGAGAATTAGGATGTTTAGTCTGGAGGAGGTGCAGGTGAGACGTTATTGCTCCCGCTAATGACCTGAAAGGAGGTTGTGGTGAGGTGGGGGTCGGCCTCTTCTTCCAGGTAGCAGTGATAGGATGACAGGTGATGGCCTCAAGTCACACCAGGGGAATTTCAGGTTGGATATTAGGAAAAAGTTCAGAAAGAGTGTTTCTGCAGTGGCACAGGCTGCCCAGGGAGGTGCTGGAGTCACCATCCCTGGAGGTGTTCCAGAACCGTGTGGCACTAAAGACAAGGTCAGTGGGCATGGTGGGGGTGGTCTGGTGGTTGTACTCCGTGATCCTAGTGATCTTTTCCAACCTTAGTGATTCTGTGCTTCTGTGACGGCGAAGGACGAGAAGGAGAAAAAGAAGAAGCTGTTCCCACCCTTCCGAGCCCGCGGGCAGGCACTGCCCCACACCCCGTCCTGGGCCGCTCAGCCGCCGCCGAACACCGAACACCACCCAGCTGCGCATCCGGCAGCCCCGAGCTGTGCCCCAGCGGCTGCCCGCCCCGCCGCCTACCTTCTCCCCCTTGCTCAGCACCCGGTAGGGCCACGTTTCGACCGTGCTCAGCAGCGAGTTCTTGATCATGCCCAACATGTTGCCGTCTGGCCCGGCCCGGCCCGTCACTCCCCGAGCGAAGTGGGAGGGTCTGCGGGCGCTCCGCCATCCGCAGCGCGCGGCACGACCGCTAGGATGCGCCCGCGGGCCACGGCAGTGACCCACAGGGTGGAGGGGTGGGGGAGGCCGGGCGGTGAGTATCGCCGTGCGGGCACGGGTGTTCGTCTGGGGGAAAGGAGGAAGCTGGGGGTGGGAAATATAGGAAAATGGAGGCGCTGACTGAAGTGTGTAATGCTTAGCGTGTATCCTTAAAGAGCGGAAAATAAAACGGTAAATGTGACATTAAAGCATTTCCCTCTAGAGACTTGTGAGCAGATGAAGCAGTTTGAGCGGCTGGACGTGACCATCTGATCCAGCTTGATGTGGGCTGTCACACAGTGAGTGACAGGAGCTGCTATCAGTAGTGACAAGGCCACAGATCTGGTCACTTATTTACCATTTGTATAATTTCATTCACTGTTACGCAAGAAGTCCAAAATCTGTAATCCATGATGCATGTTGCAACTCACTTCTGGCTGTTTGTTTCTGGGGGAAAAAAAAGTGAATTTCTCTCTTTAGATGGGGAGTTTTGACAAAAATACCAGTGTGCACCTATCTGTGTAGAAATAGGTGGGCTGGGTCAGACCAGATGTGTACCTTGCCCAGTCCTTTGCCCTGTGTCAGAATTTATAGGTGAACATGTATGTAGAAAGTAAAAGCATGCAGTGATTGGGTCTGGCCTTGCAGCTCCAACCATCCATGACTGAGACTTCCCTGGGCCAGAAATCCTGTCTCGCTGTTTCACGTAGTCCCGGATGGATTTTATATAACTTCATACAATTTCTGATTGCCTGATGAGATGCTCATGTCTGAAATACAAATAGATAATGAAAGCTGACATTTGTGTTGTGTTCTTCCTCCACATAGGCCAAGGTGGGTAGTATTCAGCCTTGAGGAAAGTGCACAAAGCAGCCCCTGGAGGGAAATGTACAGCTGATGCTGCAGTGCTGCCTCGTGGATCCGAATGCAGTACAGTGAGGAAGAGGTCGATGGGGTCTTTCTCTCCTCTTATTCCCTGTTATTTGGGTAAATATATTCTGAAATCAGAGTAGTCTGCATTTCCTTAGAAATTAACACGAAAGCTTTGCCTGCAGAAATTATGATGAAGGCTTTGACTGCAGTCATCATGAAATGGCCGAGTTCAGGATCCATAGAGCATCCTTGATGTATAGCAAGCTCATTGCACGGGACTTTAGGAGACCAGACTTTGGCCTCTTTGGGGATCTATCTGCTTGTTAGAGGACTGTGGGACGTAGCCCTGAAGTGAAGAGGGGCCCAAGGAAACTGGTTGATATTCAAGAATCACCTCTTCCAAGTTCAGAAGCAATGCGCCTCAACAAAGAGGAAATCAGACAAAAACACCAGGAGGCCTGCATAGATGAACAAAATGTTCCTGGCCAAACTCAAACACAGAAAGGAGACCTGCAGGCAGTGGAAGCAACAACAGGTAGCCTGCGAGGAATGCAGAGAAATTATCCAAGCCACGAGGGATCAGATAAGGAAAGCTAAAACCCTCATAGAATTAGATATGAGCAGGGACATCTAAGACAAAAAGAAAAGCTTCTGTAGGTATGTTGGTGACAAAAGGAAGGTTAGGGAAAATGTGGTCCCTTTCTGGAAGGAAACAGGAGACCTTGTTACTAAGGCTTAGTTACTCAGTAACTTTTTTCCTCAGTCTTCACCAACAAATGCTCTAGCCATGCTGCCCAAGTCACGGAGGCAAAGGTGTGGTCTGGGAGAATGAAGAGCCACCACTATATGAGAAGATCAGGTTCAAGATCATCTAAGGAAGCTGCAATTGAACATCTGATGAGATACATCCGTGGCTCCTGAGGGAAACGGAAGATGAAGTTGCTAAGCTGCTATCCATCATATTCGGGAAGCTGTGGGAAAATTAAGTTTACAACAACTGGAGAATTTATACATGGGAAATATTTACCAGACTGTTTCATGCATCTCATATGTCTCCCCCACTCCTTACTCAACTCCTTGATCCCAGCCACAATCTTCCTGTGTTACTTCTAGTCCATCTTGAAGGATGTCATATAAAACTAGATGCTCTACTTTCCCTCTTGAAGGTATTGTAGTGTCACTGAGCTACTTTCCATATGCTCAGGTACTGGGAGAACTTAAAAACCTAGTCTGCATACTAACTGTTTATAGCAAATGTGTCTGCAAAACAACAGTCTGACCAGATTACCCCACAACCATTTAGACATAATCAATTCCTTGTTTATATTCTCATAAAGTGCTTAAAAATAGTTTATTTTTCTCTCTGGCCTTTATACCTATGTTTCAACAGATTGCAGACATGCCATTAGCTACAGCGCTGGATGGAAATCTCTGTATTTTGCCTTTAGAGATCTTTAGAGATCTGAAAAGTAAGCCCACTCTTTCCTTTGTTCAGTTCATAACTTGATTTCTGCACCATTATTTTTTTGTTGTTGTTGTTACCAGTTTTACTACCAGGAAAGCAAAGATGAGCTGAAAGCAAAGTATACTATGTACACCTGAGCTTTGGGAGTATGTAGTTCTTCTTTTTCTACAGATCTTAATTGTGCTGAAGGATATGGAAGTTGATGTTTGCATGTGGGGAAGATACTCTGTGAATAAGACATCAGCTGAGTTACCAGCCAGACATCAATTGAATTACCAGTGATTTCTGGGACTAAGCTGTTTCCAAAGCTATTTTGGAAAATCTTTGTTGACATCTACTTATACCAGTAGGTACCAAAATTGTTTTGGAGAAACATCACCTGTTTTCAAAGGATCTTGGCAGAAGTCACTGTGATGCCGTTCACAGTGTTGGAAGTTATGGGCATATCTATTGCATAATGTTTTTGGTGCCTACTTGCAGGTAGCCAAAAGAAAGCTAATTGAAGAAGACAGGTGTTCAGCTTTGGTCCCAAGAATCTGACATATCATCACTCTTGAAACAATACGCATAGTTCAAGGTCATCCAACTCTACCCACTCTCTGAACATGTGAATGGGGCATTCTTTGCATTGGTGGAGAATAGGTTAAGGCTATATTTTAAAACATGACTTTCTCTCCCCCTCCTTACCCAGCTGGAAGTGCAAAGCACTAATCTATCTTCCTACATTCATCCGGCATTCAGCACTTTTGAAGATTGAATTCCCCAGCTGTTTCTGACAGAGTGCTGTGAAAATAGGACAGAGAAATTCAGCTGAACTTTTTAAAAAAGAGCTTACCCTGGTAAGCAGAAGGAACGACAGCATAACCTAAAGGTATTCACACTGAAGTAGACCAAGTTTCTCAACTTATTTTGCATAGGACACAAAACAACCATCGCTGAAGACCAGGTCCAGATTTGACTTACTGACCTAGGCTTGAAATAGAAGAACAACATGCAGAAGTTCTGGTCTCCTCAGTAAAGTCATCTTGTATGTGCTTTAGTTTATTCTGTTTAACAGTGTCCCATTGAGAAAGGCTTAAGCAGGTGCAAAAAACAAAGGCTTTCCTTTTTTTTGCTGGTAGAGAGTTAATTCCTCTGAAGTCTCCTGCGCGCAGGTAACCTTCTCCTATGCATTGGGAGTCTCCGCAGGTGAGTATTTGCACGCCTCTGGCTCTGCAGAGCGTTAATTCGGAGGGGAAGGACAGCTTTGTTGATGACATTGAGCCTTTCATTCAATTCTTCTAGCCTTTTCCGTATTGCCTGGACTTCCCTCACAAGATTCTCCACAGCTGCAGAAACAGGGCGGAGACTGCAGAGAAAGTAATACAGAAGAGTAACTCTGAGGACTATTCTTGAACGTGCAAAATAAAGTGCCAGGCCTCGTGTTTCTTGAAGAAGGGAGGGCCTTTCATGCTGAAAGAGCTGCAAGCAATTAGTTAAAAGATTCTTCCAAAACTTCAGCACTTCCAAAACCATTGTGCTGGTCTATTAACAGACCAACTTCTTCTCCCTGCACAATGGCCAAGTCCATTAGTTGATCTGTAACACAATTCATTTTTCCAGCCTGTTCTCACAGGATTGAGGTGCTGAGGACAGAGTAAATTTTATTCAGAGTAATTCTTACAGTCATGGCAATTGGGAATATTTCCCAATAAAGTGTGATCAGGTTAGTCAGTTTACTAGGGTGCCCAGAGCTGCCAGCATAACAAATACCAACAGTGGGATTCATCTCTCTACACTTGAACAACTTGAAAGTTAAGGAAGATGAATCCTGGTTGAGGCAGGACAGCCAGGGGAAGTCTAAATCTTGCTTCCAGATGAAGGGAATTACCTGGAGATCTCCGGCAGCAAAGACTCTGGGTTGTTCAGCAGGATGTGTTTCATTTGCCAGAAGATGCTGTTTCCCCATTTCTCAAGTGTTTGAGTAATGCTGTTAATGCCTCCTATGTTGACTTTGTCAGCTAGGTTAGCAGCATGGCCATGGAAGGGAGGAAAAAAAGTTTGACAGAACAAGAAAATATGAGCCAATAATCTAAGTTCAATTTCCTTCCCCTTCACCTCAACAGTGAGTTGCAGTGAAATGCCAAATATTAAACATATGAAGGATCTAAATTAAAAAGCAGATAACTCTCCCTCACCACATATTTCTCTGCCTTCTGTTGCCAGAGTTTTCTGCTGTCACTGGATGCCCCAGCTGACTATTTCTAAAATCATTTTTCTCCAAAAATCTCAGCAGCTACCCAGGAATCAAGAAAGAGCACTCATGAATGAGCAGTATGTGTCCCACTCCAAGGACAATATAGGCAAATCTTCAGCCCTGAGTTAGCAAATACCTCCCATGTTGACCCACCACATCTTACCGCCTTCTCTGTAGTCCCATTTCAGATTGTGGTCCAGAAACTCCTCCCGGGATTTACTGCAGGGCAAGAGGATGAAGAAGAGGAAGAGAGGAAGAGTCACCATGATGGTGGTTCGTAGGACCTTGACTTTCCCCTGCTCTGTGGAGACAGAAAATCTTGCTAGCTGTTTTATTTCTCTCTTTCCTCTCTGTCTCTGTCTCCCATCTGTGACCCAAACACCAAATTTCTCTCTGGTAATGTATTTCTTTGAAATATTTTTTCAAGCTGCTCAGCATGGTTTCTAAAGAAGCAGAGGGACTTTTTTTTCAAGGGCACAAAGCACCTTACTTTTTTTCAAGCTATAGATTGGTATGGAGATGCTTCCTCAGTGCGCAGCAGCCGGGAAAGTAGCTTCACTTTGTATGTAGCTATGCTAGGATAGCACCTAGCACTTAGCTATAAATGTTATGTGAATGTCAAGGGGTGGCACTAGGACACAGAAATAGTTACACCCCCGCTTTACAGTTAGAGAACGCAAGGCACAAGCTAGCAAAGCAATTCATCCAGGGTTCAATATGGGCAGGAATAGGAAATTGTTCTCTTTGACCTTATTCACAACCCAGTAGCATAACTGAGACATTGCCTTGTGATGGGGGTCTCAGAGATAAAATAGAAGCAAACAAACACCTAAAAAAACAAAGCCTCGTGCTGTCTCTACTTTGCCCTGGTACCTGGGGGGGTCTGTTCCTTATCTTTCAAGTTCACCATCATTTCAAAGCACATGGAAGTCAAGTCTAGCCTATAGGCCCTCCTGGACGTGTCTTTCTGCAGCTTCTTGTCATGCTAATTTGTTATTCTGTCTTGAGTATGTAGGCCTTCAATGTTTAATTCCATATCTTTTTTTTTTTTTTTTATGTCACAGACAGCTGTTCCAGTAGAAACTGGCTGGAAATATCAATTATACGCATATTGCACACAGCAAACAGAAAATGTGCGTTGCCAACTTCATGAGTTTTAGTGATGATTTCAGTCATCTGTAGTCACAGTGATGGAAAGCTTGTACGAGAAGCAGGCACATTCAGAAAACTCAAATTACTCCCCTGTTTGTATACATGCATCAAAAGTCTAAGATCTTGCTGCAAAATATGAGGACATCAAATTGCTTTTCTACTATCATACAACCTTCATTTTCTAACCATCTGGGAAGAATACAGCCACCTCAAAACCTATTGGGAGCTGTACCAAATAAAGCAGAACATAAATAAATCCCTTTACTTTGCGCTGTTCTTACATTTAATCACTTGTGTATCTTAATTGAAACTGCATTTATTTTTCCATATATTCAAATACAGTAGTATGAATATAGCCATACTGATGGAAAACGTCTTGCTATTCTAAAAATATTACTTTCCACCTGTCAGGATGTACTTTGCATTCAGTATTCTTCTTCTAATTGCAGTGTTCATTTAAAGGAAAAAAAATAAATTGCCTTCTTCCTATCTCACATATACACACACCTCTTCTTCCTCCCCCAGCTCACCCAGAGTGAGCTGCCAGAATGCAGATCTCTGAGAAAGTTTGATGATGTCTCTGAGGCACATGAAGAAACAGTCTCTATGGACGTTCTTGAAACTATCTGCACTGACACCTCAACCCCTCTGCCTCTCCAGTCTTCCAGATAAATACTCATGCCTTTGGACTTTTTTTTTTTTCTTTTTCTTTTGATGACTATGTGCTGCACATCCCTTTTTAATCTTCCCTGATGGGAAGGGACTTACTAGACAACAATATCTCTAATTGTAAACGATTTTAAAATGCTGCCAACAACAAGGAGACAGTGTGGCCTTCCAGCTCATTTTGAGACATCCTGAAGAGTCTGGCCATTCCTTACCCTTTCCACATACCACCTGTTTCAATACCCTAGGGCTGGAATACTTTGATCATTCTGTATTTAATTAAAAGCAGGATTGTGATGAGTTCCACCCGTACCTAGTACTGAAAGTCCAGCTGACTTGACCTCGAACTTTTCAAAGCATCAAGCATCCAAATGGATCACAAGACCAACATGCTCTGTTTGCAGAGTCCCTCAGGGACCAGTTTATTTGTAGCTTTGTTACCACATTTCTGAGCGCCTGCTGTAATTTGATATCAGGATAAACATCAGGTTGTAATCATTTTGAACCAGGTTTCCACATCTCAGATACTTACACAGAAATCAAGCTGTCTTCTCTCTCTTAGGTGGAACTGTAGAAGGCAATTGGATATTTGCTAGGAAGGTTTCTAGCAGAAAAAGTCTGCAGGGTCATCTGTAATAGGAACCAGATGCCAAGCCTAAGTATGTCTTCAAAACTGTCACAGAGTTGCACTGGAAAATACTGTCAGGGTAGAAAGCAGATTCACAAACACTCGTACATTTTTGGATGAAAGCTCTTTACTAAATCTAGAGAATAACAATGAGGTAGTAGTCTTGTTACTGCTACTACTAATTACAGTAGTATGGCATGTTCTCTGACAGAAAATTACATCATATTCTGTCCTTGGAGCAGGGTAAGCATGGTGATTCACTGTCTTCATGTGAAAACAATGAGAGACACTCATCTCATTTTCACACAATATTTTTTTCTTCTTTTCATCTCTCAATTCCTCACTCCAACATGATAGAAAAGCTCCACAAGCCAAATACCCTGAGCACAGCCAGGATAGCTGTTGTACTATCCAAGCCTGAATCCCTGTCCCAGAGCAAAGGAGAACTGCCAGAATCTGAGCACCCATCCCTGTGCCCCAGTGTCACTCACCCCTTCTGTCTCTGGCTGCTATACTCCATTTCCAGTAAGCACACAGCAGGGAACAATGACAGAGCACTGAGATTTCATTGGTAGCCACCCCAGATTTCAGCACAGAGGGGAAAGCAGGCAATGGCTTGAGTTCCCTACTGCCCATGAGCTGTGCTGGCTGCTAGGATGTTGGGGAATCATCCAGGTTATGCTCTCCTGGTGCCAAACACAGCTTCCTTTTGGAGTACGTTCTATCCCTGCCTCAGACATGTGAGATGTTGCAGAGTGGTTCAGAGCTCACCTGCCCTTATGCAGCAAGGAGGATTGAAACCTTTGCCTTGCACTTCTAGATGCTCTGAACATACTCTCTCCTGATGCCATATGTGAGCATCCATTGTGTTAGATAAGCACATGCTTGCTTTGAGGTGAGGGCTTTGTTGGTTAGAGCTAGCAGTCACTGTGGTGATACATAAAATGAAGGAATTTTTGCTGTAATATTGGGCTGCCAGTGAATTAGCTTTGTGGTTTGCATTTGAGACCTGTTCTACTCTCATAATTTTCCCAAGTTCCTTTCAAGCTATTTTCAAACTAAAGCTGAAGAGTGATACTGGATTTGGGGGTATTTGCAGAGAAATAAAATATACTTCTAAATAAATCAGGGAGTTTGTTCTCAGGTAAGTCATAAATGCATAAAATATAACTTCTATCCCCAATAATAGTAATGGACATTTAAACAACAAAGTAAGTATAAGACTCTCAATTTTGTAAAGAATCTCAAGATATAATAAGGATGTTTTGGAGTCTACTAGAATTTTTCTGTCTTTATTTCCATATAAAATACTTTAAGGGTATTTTAAGGTTATGTTACTTACACACGCAGCACTGAAAATGCTTGACAATTCGTTCTGCTGGAGCTCCCAAGCTAGGATTCTGAAAAGACTTTGAGCTTTGTAGAGGAGAGAGCTGCCAAGTCTGTAAGCTCAGAATAAAGAAGGTGCAAGCCCTCCCTATGAAGCAGGTGGCATTTGTTAGCTCTCCAAGCAAAAGAATGGGGTAATATCAACATTAGCATATGGCTGCGGTGTTATGTAATGGTGGAAACAGCAAGGAAAATGCCAAAAGCAATTTAGAAATCGGAGCCAACAATGTTAACCCAGCTGCTCTGATACATCTGGAGTATCACCTGTTACAAAAGCCCTTATGAAGTATCCCTCCGTTTAGATGCATGTGGGTTAAATGCTGTACATTGGTACACATTCAGATGCCTCTTTGGGTTACTCAGCCATAACAATACCTTTATATTTTCAAGTTTGACAATAAATTTGACTTAACACCAGAGTAACAGTAGTGCTTTTGCATATAGTTAAGAGTTACACTGCTCATTTTCTACCTGGATGTTCCATGAGATCAGAGCACCCAAATCCAAGTGCAGAACACATATCCACTGTAAATCATTATATTGGTCAAGTACATTTTGAGGAGATAATATACATTTTCTTCCTCTTCTCCAAGTGTACCTGCCTTTTCAGGATGTGTCTCATCTCCATCTTCCACGTAGAGCTCCCTCCTAAGAAATTCCCTCTCTCTCCCTGGATAGGCAAATACAGTTCTGGCACTCTCCATGTCTGTCTGTCTGTCTGCCTCAAAGGATCTGCTCACTCTTTCTCCCACCTCTGTTCTCTGAAAATGTAGGTAGCAATCTTCCAGCCTCCAAGTCTACACCACTGTGCACACATTCTCTCCTCTCCTGAGTCCGTCAACCCAACAAGCTCTTTCCTGTGCACATAGAGTCATCTCCTCAGGAAGAAAGCAAGCACTCCTGGAAAAGAAGGCAGAGAAGGGCATACAGGCATTACCTGCAGTCTTGAGGACAGTCCTTCTGGGATGAGACTTCCAAATCTCTGCCTGCCTGCTCCTCTTCTCCTTACCACCCCCTCTGCATTTCAGCTTCCACTGAATGACGTGTCCCTCGTCATTTCCCTGCTCTTTGCGTTCCCACAGCTTTTCTGTGGAGCCTGCTCCAGCTGCACCTCTCCTGCCCCTCCCTCCCACTCCTGCAGGCTGGCCGTCCCCCCCACGCATGGTAGCCTCGAGGGAAGGGAAGGAGCATGGAGCCTCTTTGAAAGCAGCCCTGCCCATGAGGATACCCCTATCTCTCTTTGCTGCTGGTTCTTATAGGCAGTGCTCAGCCCCTCCAGCACAGCTATCCGCCTTCTCCTAGTCACACTTTCCACTATGCGCTGTTCTTCTCTGGCTGCTTGAACCCTCCAGCCATCCAGCCACGAATTAGTTCACCATGTTGTTCCTGCCTCTTAGCAAGCATGCCAATTAATTCCCTGCTGATTAGTTCACTCCCAATGTGCTCTGCCAAATCTATTTCTGGTGGAATAAACAAGGAGGGATGAATCGACAGCAGGGTTATTCTTTTTTTCCCTGTTCCTCCTCCTCCAGGTCTATGTCTGCCAAGGCTAACAGGCTCAGGTCTGGTCAGCGCTAGACATAGTGATTCCCAAAGAAATGCAAGGTATTAAAAGGATGATTTTTGTGAAGCAGGAGGTGAGGCCTCGGATCTGATCTCATCTGTGTCACACTGACATTTTTCAGTGATTTGAGGATGTGCAGCCGCTGCGGCCCTGAGCAACACATTTCCTGCATGTCTAGGCTCATGACTAGACCTACGGCACTGCTTGCAAGTGCAGTGGCCAAATCTGCATTCTTCCTTATATTACTTATCCAGTATCAGCTGGCAACAACACCCTTTCTGCTTCCTGACCAGGCTATTCTGATTTAAAACTCTGCTGTCCGTGGCCAAAATGTCTGTGCTAAGTAGTGGGAAAAAAAAACGGTCCTTTTCCACAGGGTGAAGGATTGTCCAGCCACTCAGAATAAAAACCCAAGTCCAGAAATAATGGAGCAAGAGGCTGCGTGCAAGTTACAGTAAGATCCAGATCCCCAGCTATAATGGCCTCCGCTTTGAGGTTGCAGCAGGGCAGTGCTGGTTCACCCAAGGTGAGAAGGTGATGGGCAGGGAAACTGAGTGGGCTCCTCCTGAGCTTATCTATAAACATCAGACAGTGCTTTGCCAGCCCAACTCATGGAAGAGGTCCACCACCAGGGCTACCTGTTCCTCTGACACTGGGCACTAACAATTCAGGCTGCTCTTGCCTGCTTCAGTCCCACTGGCTTCATGGCAGGGAAATTTCTGAGAAGACTGCCCTATTACAGAGCCATGCTACTGAAGCTACTGAAGAAATACGACACTCGGTTGCAGAGTTATGAAACACCAGTTTTCGAAAGCAGCACACAATACACAGGCTTAACACAAACCAGCCTCCGGAAGAACTGGAAGGTTGTTTTGTCAGACTTCAAGCAAGCAAACAAAATGTCCAGGCAACAAGCAAATAACCCAATCATCTGTCTCCAGCTGTTCCCTGTTTAACACTGGGTAGATGCAGTCTCATTATGCGTGGACACTAGGACACAGATGAGCCTTGAATGAACCTGCTGGCATATCCAGATGAACACAGCAGGGCACTTTGAGGCACCCCAAGTCCAGACTGTGCTGCTGAAGGGTTGTGCTCAACATCCCAGACTTGTGCTGGCAGCAGACTGTCCCTGTGCAATTCTTGGGATTACTGGGGGTAAAGAACATAAGGGGGCTGCAGTACTTTCCTTCTCTGCCTCCTGCTTGCTACCATCCACATTGCCAGTAGTGTGAATGAGGAGCACTGGCCAACTCCTCATTCAGACAGGGAGGGACACCAGCACCCATTTTCCACCACTGTACTGAGCTAGGCAGAGATCAGGAATTTCATCAGTACAGTGAAACGACAAGAAACTCACTGTTTCACTTTCCCATTCCTTTCTTTTACCCTTTTCCTTCCCTTTCCAGCTTTGACTGCCTGAGCTCATAAAAAACTCTGCACTACTAAAACTTCCTTGAAATGCTCTTGCTATAGGTAGCAGAAAACATAGAGTGTTTTGTACCTGCTAGGAATGATATCACTTTTGCTGTTTTGACTTACTCTTATTGTTTCTTCCTGTTAGCTCTTAGTGCTTGATTGCATTTTAATTTGTCGTTTGGACAGATATTTCCTATTTGTTGCAGTACCTGCTCACATGTGAGTTCTCTGTCTTGGAGAGACTCAGCCAGGCACTGGAGTAACAAGGATAGTGTTCCTGGGTCTGCCCACATAGCCATAGTCAACAATACAAAGGAGAAGGGCAGGACAAGAAGAGCGGGCAAGCGTATTAACTTAGCACACACAGAAGTGCAAAGATACAGGCTGGCACATTTGGCTGCCAACAACCCCACTTTTCGTCACATAAGAATCTGCTTGCATGTTCTGTGGGATCATCAGACCAGAGGTGAGATCAGCACAGACTCCTTGAACATCATTTTCCCTGTTATGAAGTTCACCAACCACTTATGGTTCTTCTGCTGTGAGCTCCAGCAGCCTCCACACTCATTCTGCGGGAAAGAGAGGGGCCCAGCAGAGCAGCAGGAAGGCTGACTTTGCTGCAAGCTGCCAGTGACTTTATCACTTTTCAGTGTGCATGATCAAAAGGTCAGCCACCAGCTGCAAAGAGGGAAAAAAATGGTTACCTTTGAGGACCCATGCTAAAGGCAGCTCATCTTGGAAGCAGAAGGCAGGATCAGCAGGGATGTACAGGCCAGCATCTGGCAGCCTGCACATAAGGCAGCTTGACAGAGAGAAACAGTAATTATCGCCAAGGCCAGCTAATGAACCAGGACTGTGCAAACACAGAACCACTGTGAACCTAGTGTGATCATGTAACTGTGCCAGATTCCATGTCGTGAACCAGAATAACCTGGCCTGGCAGTTTGTGACGCTGTGGCTTCAAATACTGTCTTCCTGCAGCCAGGTGCAGACACGACAGCAGAGCCTCAAAAGCTCACTGGGAGGTGTATACCTCTCAAGTCTTACAGCAAAACTGCATGCACAATCATTTCATCATGCGGCTCTCCCAGAGTGACCTGCTTTAGTTGGAGTATTTTCAACAGCAGTTTTAGTGGAGCCCTTTCAGAATCAGGGAGCTCTATACAGCCACTCATACCAAATACTATGTTTGAGAGGAGAGCCTAAATGTAAATAGATCCAGACATTTAGGCTGTCCCATCCTACATGCAGAATTCAGCATTTCTAGCATTTTAGAATAAGAGGTAGTGGCATCAAGTTGAACCAGGGGAGGTTCAGGTTGGATGTTAGGAACAATTTCTTCTCAGAAAGACTGGTGGTGCTTCACTGGAACAGGCTGCCCAGGGAGGTGGTGGAGTCACCATCTCTGGAGGTGTGTGGATGTGGCACTGAGGGACACAGGTAGCGGGCATGGTGGGGATCAGTTGGTCTTGGTGATCTTGGAGGTTTTTTCCAACCTTAATGGTTCTGTGATTCTATGTTTATGTGCAGGCAAGCTGGAGAAGGCTGAAATTTCTGGCAAAAGGTTGGCAAGAAAGAAGGCAGTGCTGCAAACCAACTCAAACCTCTTCCACCATTTATTTGTCCCACCCTTCACTAAGTGAGCTGCAGCTGTACAAGGGAAATCACTGTACAAAAAGGTCAGTATTCCTCACTTGTGTGATGCTCACTGTAGGCTGGTCCAGTGGCTGAAGCTGAAGTTAGGACTTGCACAAGCACAACACAGATGAGGGGCTTGAGACTATATGTTTCCATGCTTTTTGGCTCGTAATGCTTTTCTAAACAACCACATTGCAACCCAGGGCTCTCAGACTTACAAGCTTAAACCGCAGTATTTCATTTTTTCAGCATCTTACATCTTCAAATTGATTCAAAAAAAAAGTAAATAACAATTCATGTAAAAGCAACATTCATATAAATGAATGATTTATTTGTAACTTCAGTTTTATTTTCACAGCTATTTGATTGATATTAGTACGCTTGACAGGTCCAATTTAAATGCAAATCAGCTTCCATTTGCAATGTAAATTAGCAAAACTTCATTTTTCATGCTTTGCATATTATTAAACTCTCTGAACACTTTGCTCAGCCACACATTACCTCAAAAGCATCCGTTTTTACCATAGATCACCTGCCCTTGCCCTTTAGCCTCATGGAGGTCTCAGGAATTGAAGAAGAGCCATTTTTGTGGGGATGCATGCATTTAAAAGTGGGTTATGCTGTGCCGTAAACACATGAGCACTATAAACCACAGTCTCTTCTAGTGTATGTGTGTGTGCCTGGTGTTAGAAGACCACAAATGAGGACATCAGATTTTCCAGTTCACAGTTCTGGCTGTTTTCTGCTGCGTCCTTGCTTCCAGGTCTAATTAATGCCAGAAGCTTTTTCTTAGAAAGAACCCTGCAGGATAGCTCTTGTCCCTCTGTATCACAAGATTTGCTAAGCGAGACTTGAAAAGCATCCAGGATCTCTCTTGTAAATATTGACATAGTTACGGGATCACCACTGCTCCTAAATCAAAAAGTGGAGGAGGAGAAATGGCAATACGGAACAGGACTTTGTACTCAGAATGACCTAGAAAGAAAGGAAAAAGAATAACTCTGATGTGCAGCTTCTGAGGAAAGTCCTGATCTGAGGCTTGATGACATCAGTGGAAACAGTCCCACTGGTACTAAAAGATTTTGGACTGGGAGCTGTTTCTCTCTTTCCAGTTCCTATCTGAAAAAAAATCAACCAATTCCCTTCAACAGTTGGGCCACTTGGTGTCTCTCTTCTGCTCCCTACTTGCTATGGACGTGTAAAGAGTCACAGAGGGAAAGGGCAAGCATGTCATTTGAGGGAATGGAAAGGGAACAGCAGCAGCAGATGCGGTCCTAGCTGGTCAGACTCTCGTCTCTGGTGTCGGACATGCATGGGGCTGGGAATCAGGAAGCTGGGGCTCTATGGCTTTGGGGAAACCACAAAACTCTCCTTGCTCAACTTCCCCATTGCGGGAAAGGGAGATTGTGGTGAAGATGGAAGAGAGCGTTGGAAAACACCCTGGTACGCTTTTGTACTGTAATTATAAACCACAGAATAAAAGCAAATCAAGATTTCTTGCAACCAATAACTTCCCATAAATG